AGAAATATCATACCTGTAAACATATATCTGGCTTTATTTTAACACATGCGTCAAATAAGATTACGCAAAAATTCGATAATTTAAATTTCGCTGATCTGTTACTTCAATAGTGGCTTAGCGATTTTACATAGATTTATTAAGAAAAAGCCAACAGCACTTCAGATGCAGAGCATCCTCTTTCCAAGAGACAGTGTGCTTGGCCTAGGTCGAACAATCACTTGATATTCGAATTTATCAGTTCGAATGAGTGATAAAACCTTAACCGGCTTTAATAATCAATGGCCGGCATTAAATTTTATGTGGTGTTACCTTAATTTCTCACGGTCGATTTTTTATTAAGTTAATAAGTAGCGCTAATATGAATAGTGTCTAGAATCTTTCCTTACCTAATACACGATCCCGCGATAAGAATGAAACTTAAAAAGACTATAAGAGTAATGAGTATAACATTTTTTATCAGTAGTTTTATCCAAATTCATATGTCGCAGGGATTTGGAATCTCCGCATCTCCGAGATCGTCAGATCTAAAACTACCTTAAGCGGTCGTCGATTATAAGGGGGTTAATTTCACCAGAAAAATGGCAAAATAGATTCACTATTTGGACCTTATAACCGAGCGGAGTTGCTTTATGGAAAAAAAAAACTGGCGTTAGACTTGGGCATCGTAATTACTAATCGTGCATTTTCTTTCTGGCAGGTTCTCAGACCTAACGAATATGAGGTATAAAAATAAACAGATTTGCTCACAAGGTAAGTTAGCAATAACCTTGCTCTTATATATTTTTTTGGCTTAACTTATTTAAAATTTACTCTCAAGATCTGGTTAACATACATTGTTTGTTATATGTTTTTTTCGAAAGCGAATTTCTACTTACTATTTATTTTTATATTAGAAAGCGAAAATGGCGAATATTACCATGTCAGCAGTGATTATTCAATTAATATTCCCCAAAATACGACAGTCGCCAACCTTAAAATTATGATTAGAAATAACGTTCCTTTTACCGATTTTGATCTCTACGTAAATGATACTGCTCGAGATGTAAGAAAATATATGGATCCGCAAAATATGGTTTCACAATATTTTGATATTAATAGACTGGGAAATCACATCCATATCCTTGTTTATGAAAGATAATTTTTTTTTTTATATGTATTTGCACTAAGTAATTGCGATATATTTTTTTATTTGTATATTATGTTGTCGTCGTGGCAATATAATTTTTTATAATAATAAAGGGAGGGGTTCGCTGGGCTCCCAATTTTTTATTTTTACGTGATTTTTATGAAATAAAGACCATACTTTGTGCTTCTAACTAACTTTACCTCCCCACCAATTCACGCGATTCCACTTTGCCAAGAAAAAAAAATATTAATATCCTCGGGTCGTCTAAATTAAGCCAAAATAATATTGATATTTAAAAGTCAATTACGCACATACTGTCCCACTATATATCACGTGATGTTGTGACCTGGGGTCACATTCTATAAAATAAATTTTCATCCTATGCTACGATTAATTTGAGTTTATTACTTGAAGTGTTGCAGGTAAGACAATATTCCAACTTATCTTGGGAATACAACTTCGCTAATTCGGGATCATAAGGGAGCTGATTCCCATTTTCGCGATACCATTCACTATGTAATCCATAATTCCCATGTTTTCCATTGCAAATAGGGCATGGTGAGCTCCACGGCTGAGGTGATGCAAAATTATAATTATCAATCCCTCTAAAACTATTTCAGAATTTCAAGTATGTAAAATGCTCTAACACGGATTTGATAATTAACTCTGGATCGGGTCTGGCTTCAAAAGTGATAGGCTTGAAATCAGGGGCTTGAGGTTTTGCTGACACTATCTCAGCTTTTGATAATTGCCACAGCTCATGTCCAGTTTCTTTTTTATATTTTTTATATAAGTTCGACTAAATCTTATCTGTCAAAACGTTTGGTAACCCACTTAATTTGGCATGCCAATCCAGATATTCGGGGTTAATACTTTATTGAACTTGGTCATATTGTCTTTTTATATGATTGCAAATCAATTTAAATTAGAGTAAGCATTCTATTTTCTCATAAATTCGAAAATAGAAAAAAAAAGTAATCAGAAAATTTTTTAGATAAAATTTCACAAAACTCTTCACTCCAAAAAAATTTATTTTTGAGGAGGGCGTGAGCAAATATATGGTTATGCGAAGCGCCTCTGTCCAAAGTGACCAGATTATGCAACTATCTCAATTTCGCGCTGTTCACACTTAATAAAATAGGATCCAGCCTTATATCTACCCTCTATACTTTCCTCATCATCATGCTCTAACTCGCATAATGGGCATATTTTCTCACTAGTAATTTCATAGTAATCGAAATTTTCACTACTAAATTCTCTATATAAATTGGGATATTGATCCAATGTCTTGTTGAGAAAATAAGATCGGCTACATGTTGGATTAGATTGAGATGCAACATTTGCTGATGTACTTGTCTTAGCCTTAATTTGATCATTCTCCTGAGAAACAGTTTTCAAAGTCACATGACTCTGATCGTGAAGAATCTTCATGGTTTTATTGTGTGTCACATAATCTATTATATTTTGGATTTGTTGGTAATTGAGGCTCGAAATGGCATCTGCGCTATAAGAGACCTGTTTAATTTTTTCTAGTCCCAATGTATTGAATAATTTATATAATTTTCTAGCTCTAAGGATTTTTTGACGCAAATTCACATCTGTTATTTCAGGTAGAAGCTGTTTGATTTCTTGATATATCATAGATGTTGCAGTTTTTTTCTTAACTCCATCAGCAACAAGGTTATCAATCCTTTTATCGTATTTCTCTATAAAATAGCACCAGTATAAAATTGCTTCCTGGCCAAATTTAACAGCTTTCCTAAACATGCAAGCTATATTTTGCGCAGTATCTGATGAGTCCGAGTCCTGTTCTAAAATTTGATCTGAAGAAAGAGTGTGTGCAGGTGCTGATAACTGTTGCTTTAACTCCTGCTCCACAATTATATTTTTATCTAACCTTGCAATAACTTCGTCATGTTGATCAGATTCGTCCATATCACATGACTTTGATCGTGAAGATTCTTCACGGTTTTCAAGAATACATGCGTTAACTTGGGGCTTCTTTGATAAGGTACAAGATACTAACCCTAGATTTCCAAAACTAGTCTCTTGCTCACTCTGCTTCTTTTCTCGCTTCCTCTGCCTAATCTCATCACTAACCTTTTTCCTATGCACCTCATTCAAGAAAGCATTCGTTTCCTTATCTTCCAAGGATGTCTGATCACATTGGTCCATAACAGATATATTAACAGCTGGCTCTGGTAACCCTTCTGGTATCGATTCTTCAGGTAATGAAGTATTCATTTCCTTAGGTAACTGATCTGCAAGCGAATTGAAGTTAGGCGAGCTGTTATTGGAAGAATTGATTACCTTAGAAACATTATCACTTAGCATCTGCCTCTGCTCCACTTTCGTAATCCTATCTCTAAACTCTGCATTTTCAGACTCGAGTTTAGCTGTAACTGTTTTATTTTTCTCTAGTTCCACAATTATGACGTTAAGTTTGCCAATCTCACCTGAATAATGTAATATAGTTTCCTCCAGCTCATCAGTTCTGGTCTTAAGCTCCTGTCTCAATTTCGTTTTCTCAACCTCATCCTCAGCAACCTTCTTCCTAAGCTCACAAATCTCAGCTAAGAGCTTGGCATTTAATTCCCTTAATGAATTGTTAGATTGAGTGTTTGTCATGATGGATGGTATTTTTATATAAGATATAAAATATTCAATAGTCCGTTAGTATATAAAAAGATATGACATGATACTTTTGGTATCTATTCTGCAAAAAAAATTTGCGGAACCGTGCGGTCTCGGAAAATTGCCAAGAAAAAAAAATTCTCAATCATATACGAGTAATGTAAATACTAAAATATAAAATAAATTCACACACAGAAGTAAACTGATTATTTATGTGAAATTGAGCCACCAGGGCCAATTTTATTGTTTTATTGATGCAGAAACATGTATGTATTTTACAGAATAGTAATATAAAACGCATTAACTAACTTAGTTTAAGGTTGTTTTAGAATTAACCCTCCTGAAATGGATTGACCAACAATCTCAAAAATTTTTTTTGACCATTGGCTACAGTAATAAGGTTTAACCCACGACTTAAACGTTAATACAGTCAGACCTCTCTAAATGCATATCATTGGGACCAGCTCTGAGGTATGCATTTAGAGAGGGTTGCATTTAGAGAACACTAA